CCTCCAGCCAGCATGGGATCTCCCATACCCCTCCAGCCAGCATGGGATCCCCAACAACCCCCAGACAGCAAGGGATCCCTGACACACCCCAGACAGCAAGGGATCTCTGACACACCCCAGACAGCAAGGGATCCCCCACACCCCCCAAGACAGCACAGGATCTCCAATACACCCCCAGACAGCACGGGATCCCCCACATTCCCGCAGACAGCATGGGATCCCCCATACACCTCCAGATAGCACGGGACTCCCTGCACCTCCCCAGACAGCACAGGATCCTTCACCACCCCCAGACAGCAAGGGATCCTCCACACTCCCCCAGCCAGTACGGGATCTCCTACACTCTCCCAGCCAGCACTGGATCTCCCACACCCCCTAGCCACAGCAAGGGACACCCCACAACCCCCAGCCACAGCAAGGGATCCCCCGCACTCCCCTACCCAGCACAGGATCCCTGCACTCCCCAGCCACAGCATGGGATCCCCCGCACCCCCCAGCCATAGCACAGTACCCGCCCCCGCCACACTCCCCGACCCAGCATGGGATCCCCCGTACTTCCCCAGCCAGCATGGGATCTCAGCACCCCCACCCAGCACAAGATCCCCCACACCCCCAGCCGCAGCATGGGATCCCCTGTATCCCCGTAGCCACAGCATGGGATCCCTCACACCCCCTAGGAATCAAGGGATCCCCTGCACCTCTCCACCCAATGGAAGTTTAACCACTACCTGGCTTTAGGAAGAGCTGGGAAAACAGGACTACTGATCCTAGGCACCCCTGCTTCCTCCCTACAATGACCCCAGCCTCTCCAGTTCTTTGTCCTGCCTCCCTTCTGGGGAAAGCAGTGGGCATCCTGTATGACATGGTGAAGTTAGAAAAGCCAAGAAAACCCATAGAAGCGGCATGGGCTGCTTCATGCAGCACCTGAGCCCTCAGACAAGGGTCCCCTCAGGCACCGCATGGCCCACCACTACAGTAGGACAGCACTGAAGGGTAGGGGGACATCCAGGGCACCATCAGCTGCAGGAAGCAGGAGCAGGCTCGGGTGGGAAGGGCCAAGAGGAGTGGGGCTGTCTGGGAGCCTGCCACTTTCTGCCAGGGTCGGCTGTGTTCTGAGGGCTGCAATTCTCCAAGCCCGACTTCAGATGTAATAGGGTGGGGGATTACTGTGGTCCAAAGCAGGGACGTTTCAGAACTTATTCTCATCTTACCTGTTGAAAGGATCCTGTAGAAAACACTCCTTCCAAACCATGCAGGCGACCGCCCTGGACATGAGGTAAGAGTAATACTTGGCACCATACCCCACGAGGTGGCTGAACCGCAGCTGCCAGGCCTGCCAAGAGCAGAGACACAGCACAGGACACAAGTCAGTTTCTGCCTGGAGCATATCACATGTGAGAAACAATGGAGACACAGAGAGACCTGTACATGTTTTTATTTGCATTTTACCCTAGAAGGCTATGTCACCTATAATATTAATATTTTCACATGTTATACGCTGTTATAGGCTGAACTGTGTCTGCTCAAAATTCACATGTTGAAACCCCAAGCCACACCTCAGAATGTGCCTTATTAGGAGACAGGGCCTCCAAAGAAGTAAATCAGTAAAAGTGAGGCTCTTAGGCTCACTCATGTCCTGGAAGAAGAGGAAAGCTGGATGCCAGGGTGTGGGTGCAGAGGAAAGGCTGTCTGCAAGCCAAGGGGGCCTCAGGAGAAGCCAGACCTGCTGACACCTTGGTCTGGACTTCCAGCCTCCAGAACAGGGCGGAGTAAATTTCTGTTGTTTAAGCCACATAGTATTTTGTGAATGCAGCCCTAGCATGCTAAGACATACACAGAGAACATTTTGTATCACATAATCACATATATGCATATGTTGCTCCAAATATATGGTTAATCTTCTCCATGGAGTTTAATTACTTACACTGATTATAATACATTTTATTTTACATGACTATCTAGAAAAAAGATAAAGTCATGAGTTTACTTATTTTTAACAATTTGGTTAGTTCAGAGAGTTGTACTCTGCAATGATTCTCTGTTGCATGTACTGCTTTTCATGAACCAGTTTTTAGAACACAAAAAACTTCCATGTTTTTATCATAATTACATTTTATGACAAAGCAAAAAGTCACAGAGCAGAAGAAAAATGGGACGAAATTTAAAAATCTTAACTATATAAAGAAAGGTAATCTGGGAATGCACTTTTTTTCAGAAGAGACAAACGCTAAGAACCGAAGATAACCACCAGCAACTCGCCTCTCAGCGGAAGGGTCAACAAACTGTCTGTGGTCCCTCCTTCTCTAAGCTCCTTCCACTTCTTTTCGAATCATAAGAAAGAAGAAGTGCACGCCTAATTGTTTTGTACAAGTTCACCACTCTGGATTCACCTCTGTGACAGCAATGTAGAGAAGACAGCCCAGAGACAGTGGCAGGAGCACCGATGGCGGAGCCGGGTGGACGTGCATATCTGTTCTAACCTGCTTGGAACACCTGGTCATCGACATCAGAGGAGGGAATTTGGAGTCTGGCACAAAGAGAGTGCATCCATTCTTTTTAAGGACAATGATGTGGTTATGAGAGGAAAGGCCATGTGGGTTTTCATGGAAGGACACTGTTCCACTAGGAACTTCTTTTCCTATGAATACCGCTCTTTCTCTGTCCCTAAAGTGGAAAACACCTGCAGTCTGACCCATCAGCACACGCAGGTCTATGCAAACACAGCACATGAGCTTGTGATGGTGCATCGGCTGTAACGTCACCCCAGCCAAAGCTGGGACTATGAAAACTGTCCTCAAAGGCCACATTTAGGACTTTAACATTTTTACTTTTCTGAAAGAAACAAATCTGACAAGCAATCATCCACTTTCTTCTGTCTTTATCTGACGTAAACATTTCTTTTTTTTCTTCAAGGCGTTGGAGGGAGAAGCTTGGGCTGGGCACAGTGGCTCACGCCTGTAATCCCAGCACATTGGGAGGCTGAGGCAGCTGAGTCACTTGAGGCCAGGAATTCAAGACCAGCCTCGCCAACATGATGAAACCCTGGCTCTACTAAAAATACAAAAATTAGCCAGGCGTGGCAGCGCATGTCTATAATCTCAACTACTCGGGAGGCTGAAACAGGAGAACTGCTTGAACCTCGGGAGGCGGAGGTTGCAATGAGCCAGATCATACCAGTGCACTCCAGCCTGGGTGACAGAGCAAGAATCTGTCTCAATAATAATAATAATAATAATAATAATAATACAATAAATAAATTTTTTTAAAAGCTGAACTTTTAAAAATGATAACAACATGCTAATAAATCTGTTAACTCCCTACAAAATGGGGAATAAACAAAGTAAAATCCTTGCTGCAACTCTATAAACTAGATAAGTGAATTCTAGTATCAAGCAAGATACATTTTAAAAGATATGGTTACTTCATCACAGGAACGTGGCAGCATACTCCCTGTATCCACTAAACAGTGGCTTAAAAGACTCATGGCAATGCCAGTGACTCTCTGGTTGTGTCCGATTCTCCAAGAGAACTAATTTGCCTGGGTTCAGCAAGGGCTCTGTCATAAAGAAGGTGTGTGGGAGCAATCAATCTAGGACATGGGGCCAGCACCGCCGAGACGCACAGTGCGCCTCCACATCCGCTCTCCTCTTTCTGCAAGAGGATGTGATTGGAAGTCAGGTGGGTACCTTGTGAGTGGTGTCCTGAAGGAACGAGCCACACCCCTTCCTCCTTGGGGACGCAGCCTTGCAGGAGTGTGGGCCTGTGATGGGGCAGCCGCCTCGTGCTGGGCAGGTGCACTCGCACAGCTACTGTTTTGGGTCTGTCACAGCAACCAGACCTGTATCCTACCTCGCAAGATACCCCAACCCCCGGCCCAGGTGCCACCCCCACACAGTACCATGAAAGTACAACCAACGGTGGGGCTGAGGCTCCTGGAGGTGCAACAGATGCCATGCCCTTGGTGGAGCTGTGCCCTAGGTGGGGGGAGCTAGACACTCAATATGTGGCCTCACAGTTTCTTGGCCAGCAAGGCCCCTCCAGCACAGTGAAGGGCAGAGAAAGGCAGGCACAGACTTTTCATCTTATTGAAATGCAAGTGGCATTTAAAACAAAAGCAAAGAGCCTAGGACCATCTATGAATTAAATTCCAGTATAACAAACTTTGAATAATTACATTTTTAGTCAAAAGGCTTTTAAAATTCATTTACAACATATACACGTTCCATATACTCTGTCTTATTTAAACAGGGTATTTGTCAGTTTTCTGTTACGCTGGATCCTAATCTACTAAATGATGAGAGCACATGGACCCCCGGTAGCCTGTCTCATATGAAGCAGTTTGGCTGTGAGGGTATCTTCTGTGACGGACTGCAGAATGCTGCTTCAATATCATATTACACCAAGATGCCGGTGCTTGTGCTACTGATGATAACCGTCTCTCAGGGTGGAAGCCCCAGAATCCGTAGCTTTCAGCTAAGGGGCTTTGTGAAACTTTTTCTTCATGGTGATTTGCCAGAACTAGTTTGGCAGGCTTTGCAGTATAGAGCAGAATTTAATTCTGTTTAGATTCAAGCTGAATACAGCTTTGTTTTATCTTGAAAGCAGGCCCACTTCAATAGTGGCATCTGATCTGAGCTCAGAAATGTCTAAGTTCCCTGGTTCTATCAACTCGTAACTGAGTTCCCGCATAAACAGAGTAATAAAAATAAGACCTCTCAGAATGGTAGAAAGAGACATCAGGATTTGGGTACACACCATTTCCTGGACAGCCCCGGTTCTGCCTTATCCTGACCCCCAGCTAAATCCAGGTCTTCTGGCACACACATGCCTGGCTGTGTCTTGCACTTTAATTACAGGTTTGGGTTGAGGACTATACCTCAAGACATGCTAGATAAATTATCTCCACCTGACACCTTTCATCACAGGTTTGCAAGTCTATGGCCGACTAAGACCTACAATTCCACTGTTGTTTGAACACAATTGCTGAATTCCTGCTAATTCAACCTAACGTTAAGTCCTAATTGCCATTTCACTCATTCATCTGGAAAAATGAAAGATAGCATTTCATCTTAAGCTCTGGAATTATGATATCCTCTTCCTTTTAAATTGACGTTTTCTACTTCCTAAGGGATATTTGTCAGCTGTATAAAAGCTTTCACCCTTCCTTCAATATTTAATGTGTGGATCTGATTTCAAAACCAAACCATGCAAACGTCTTTGTAGCTTTCCTTTTATTATGGTGGGAGACACAGATTTTCAAATCCTATCACGATCCGAAGGCAAGCCCATTTAAACTTTCCTTGAGTTAGATAATCTCAGTGATCCCATGCGAAAGACAAAACTTTGAGCCAGCAAAGCAGCATGTCAAGAAACCCATGGATATGGTCACTTGCTTCAAAACTCCAGAGAATGGGAGGCTCTTTGATAATGTATACTTACCTATAGCCCTTCTCTAATGTCACGATTTTCCAGAGCCAGAGATGGAAAAGTGGCCGTGGAGCCAATTTATTATTGATTTTCAGTTTCAAAACCTAGAAGAGGGGCTGGTGCAGAGCAAGCACTCATTAACTGTGTGCTAAATATTTAAAATGGAACTAACCATTTCTCCTAATTATACTCTTTTTAAATTTTTTTAGAGACAGGGTCTCAATCTGCGGCTCAGGCTGGAGTGCAGGGGCATGAGCATGTCTCACTGTAACCTGGAGCTCCTGGGCTCAAGTACCCTCCCACCTCAGCCTCCTGAGTAGCTGGGACCACAGGCATGTGCCACCATGCCTGGTTAATTAAAAAAAAATTTTTTTTAAAAAGATGAGGATCTCTCTATGTTGCCCAGGCTAGGTCTGAACTCCTGGGCACAAGTGATCTGCTTGCCTTGGCCTCCTAAACTGTTAGGATTACAAGTGTTAGCCACTATGCTCAGCCAACTATACTCTTAAATAGTATGCCATTTCTTCATGTCCAGCTATACAAGTAGAAATTCATTTAGATAAAATTTATTTTAAAATGATTTTATCACTGGAACATTATAGAGGTGACTCTTGAAAAACAGGTGGATCCACTTATATATGGATTTCTTTTTTTTTTTTTTTTTTTTTTT